CACAAGCCCCACCCCAATATTAAGCCCCACCCCAATAAGCTCCACCCCCACCTAACCACCTTTCACATCTCACCCCCACCACTCCCACTAGTTTTCCCAGTATCTACCCCCAGAATGACCCCTCCTGATTTGAGGACCTGGGGGGCTAAGGTACCATCACCCTGGGGTGACTGGGGGACACCCAGGGCCCTGGGGGTGTCTCAGGGTGGGGGCAACAAACCCAAGTGGTGTGGGAGGGCTGTGCTGGAGGGTCTGCAGTGGGTGGGTAAGGGGTGCAGTATATAGGGGCTGCATGTATAGGGACTGCATGTATAGGGACTGCAGCGTTTGCACTGAGGGTGTGCACAGCGATGTAACGTGGGCACCGACAGTGTGTACAGGGCATGCAGTGTGTGCATTGGGGGTGTGCATAGGTGATGCAGAGCATAGGGGATGCAGCGTATGCATCAAGAGTGTGTATAAGGAACGCAGTGTGCACAGAGATGTGTATAGGAGAGATAGTATGGAGGAGCTGGTGTGTGCATCAAGTGTGGCAATGTGGAGGATGCTGCATAAGCACCCAGGTGTGTACACGGGCCGCAGTGTGTGCACTGAGGTGGGTGTATGGGCCACAGGGTGTGCATTGAGCTGTGTACGGGGGCTGCAGTGTGCAGGGGACGCAGCATGCAGGGCCCAGGGGTGCCCCAGGCAGCAGGGTAGGCAGGAGCTGTTCGGGGTGTCACCTAGGGGCAGCACTGGGGAAGGACGGTGCACTTACAGGGCGCGCACAGGGATGGGGTCACACACATGGGTAACGGACAAAAAGGGATACATGGGTGCTCGCAGCCTTGCACAGACACAGCTCAGTATTGCAACAAGAGGCACCTTCGGGTCCCCCATTCCACCTTGGTGGCCCAGGTAGGTCCCACAGCTCAGCCCTCCAGGCCTGGGGACTCCCAGAAGCTTTCGGGGGGAGGGGGAGGGTTGGGGCATGTCCCCTACTGTGAGGTGCTGGTGGGAGCGTGACTATGCAAGGGGGCCAGAAGCAGCAGGTTTGGGGCGGGCACAGGGTTCAGCCAGCTCTAGGTGCTCCCTCCTGCTGGGGGAGCTTGGGGCTGGCGAGCGAACAGGACACCTGAGGAACAAGAGCAAGGGGATTAGGGGAATCCCTGGGTTGGGGGTTCTGCATATCGTATCCCCCTGCACCCAGGCCGGGAAGGGTGGGACCAGCACCCCTTGAGGCTCCAGCCCTGCCTGTCACCCTCAGTGCCTCCCCTGGGCTAGGTGCCCTCACAAACATGGGGCATACCCCAGGGCATGTGGGGACCATTTGGCTGGCAGCCCTGTGTGCTGATTAGCCCTGACCTTTCAATCTCATTAAATATTTAAGTCCTGAAAGAAAAAACATCAATTTTAATTGGGGGTGTCTCAGCAGAGCAGGCAGGGAGCTGGGGGCATGGGGTGAGCTGCTTAGACAGGTAGCTGCATGCCCGCATCCCAAAGGAGCCTCTGCTCCAGCAAAGCACCCCAACATCCTTCCTTGCACCAAACACCACGCTCTGCAACCAGCCAAACCCTGCACCCATCCAGAGACCCTGTGGGCATACCAGCACCAGGCTGACACCAAATCCAAGCCCTGCCTGCAGGACCGTGTGGTGGGGGGTGACCCCAGGTGCCTTTTTGCACTTCTTAGCCTGAGTTTGTCTTGCCATCCATTCATCCATCCATATCCCATTTTGACCCTGCATTGCTAGCTCCTGCTGCGGGACAATTTCCAGCCTGGCTGACCCCCCCTCCTTCTCCCGCCTCCTCTCCCCAGGCCCTGCCACTTCATTACAATGGATTTTATAGTAAAGACATCAGATTGAAGGAAGGACTTGCTGGCCAGGCAGTGGCTATAAGTTATTGGATTTCCCGGCCGCAATTACACAAGCCAAGCGGCCCTTCTATTTACCTGTGTAGACAACTCCATTTATTTCTATTGACATGTTGATACTGCTAATGCCATCGGTGGACAGGCTCAATGCTGTCTCCTGTCTGTCATCTGGGGAAAGGAAATACCAATATAAGCATTAACAGAAACAGAAACAAGAACCTGCCCAAGAGAGAGAAGCGAGGCCCCAGCCTCTCCGGGCATCCCTGCTCCTCTCCAGCCACTGCTGCTGCTCCTCTCTCCTGGGGTGCCAGGGGATGGGGTGACCCAAGCTGAGGTGTTGCATCCCGCTACCTCGGTTGGAGATCTTGACATTCATGGGGAATTGGGAGGCTGGGTCCAGGAGGTTGTGCTGCAGCACATGTTGCACCAGCCGCTGCTGCTCCTCCACTGTCCGGGC